GTTTTCTGTATGTCTGAGATGGATTATCCCAGAGCCTTCGTTTCCTTCCCAAGGATCGCAGGCTCGGGGAACGAGATTGAATTTTACCCACATCCCATCCTCGTTCCCAGGGCTTCTCGGCTGCCTCCTCGTTCCCAGGGCTTCTCGGCTGCCTGCGTTGCCAACGCAGGCAGCCGAGAAGCCCTGGGAACGAGGATGTTTTACCCACTGTTCCACTGAGCTATACTATTGCATATTTTATTAAATATCTTCGAATTTTAAGCATTAATGTCTAGGTCATAAACTGTGGGTTTGTTTTGTCATAAATGTATATTTTATATGGCATATTAGTATAAAGCCTATAAAACATGGATTGGAAAGACTGGACAGTTGGACTGGACAGTTGGACTGGACAGTTGGACTGGACAGTTGGACTGGACTGTTGGACTGGACAGTTGGACTGGACAGTTGGACTGGACAGTTGGACTGGACAGTTGGACTGGACTGGACTGGCCGGATGTGCCATGCTACCTGACATGGCGGCTGGCGTGCAAGTCAAGAATAGAGAAAATGTAAAAATCAGTCCACTCCAACTGTCCAATCCAGCCCAACTGTCCAGTCCAGTCCAACTGTCCAGTCCAGGTTTTGCACTATGCCATTTTATATTATTTATCAATCTATCAAGTATCATATACATAGAAAACAACTTCAACGTCTTCAAGTTCGATTGTCGCCTTTAAGGCTAATTTCCTAATTTGATTGGAACGAACAAGGAATTTTTTCTTTGTGTTAAAGTCATTGGTTCCAACCCAAAGCTCACAAGGCAAAGAAGAATTTTCTTGTCCGTTCCAATCCATGGATCTGATTTTCCTGAGTGGAAATTATCGAGAAGGGCACTTCTTCTATTTAAGAAAGGGCACTTTTCCCTTAGGGACTTTAGGGTCATAAACGTTTAATAAGGGCAGTTCATGGAAACTTGGGCGGGGGGGGGCGACCCCTATGCCACTGGCCCGGATCCCCCGGTCCTAAGCCAGTGTATATATTAGGTTTGAAACTTTGAATGAAAAAACGGCTATTACAGTTAACTCTATTCGAGCAAGTAACCGTAAACCAAAGACTCGATCACTCGAACTGGTGAATTATAATCTTATACATAATATCTTGTATAATACTGGTTGATTTTCAAAATTAAAATCTATCTTTTTTATCTTTTCCAACATGTACAATTTTCACAATATTTAGATCGTGCACCATATGTTATTGTTCCATGCAGACAAATTTGACCAAATGTGTTAAATGCGGTTTCCATTGCATGTTTGTATTCATAATCATGTATACGCTTGGAAAACTGGCTTATTAAAATCGATTACATGATATTCATGGGAACAACAAGTCAGTCCAACATTTAGATTTTAGTGTGTATTTGTTGGATTAAATATTAAACTCAATTTCCTGTCAAATGACCGGAAGGCAACTACTAAAAGAGCGTGACGCAGCGAGTGGAAAAGGTCAAAAATAGATATAACACCTGTTGCCAGACAAAAGCAATTTCACGCTAATTTATCATTTGTCATGCAAATTCATGATACATATATGTCATATATGTTATCACAAGCGTATGGGGTTGATCTTTTCCTAGAGGTCACCGGCTCGAATTCGAAAGTTTGGCAGAATTTTTGTGGAGAATTGTACACAATAACTGTTTAGGGGGGGAGGGCAATGCCAATAGCTCCCTTCACCCCCCCGCCACTGTCTCGTATATGGGAAGACTATATTATTTACACTATAGTATAGACTATATATATAGTCTATAATGAAGATCGTATCAGAGGCATACCGCCATACGGATCGCGGGAAGCTTCGCGAAACGTGGTGTTTCGGGAGACAACAAAATTGAAAATCGAGTTGTTTTCATGTCGCCATGCAAACCTCGTGTATCAGGCCTCTTATCTGCAATAAGAATTATAAAATATAAAATGCATATCGTATATTTAAAACTGAAGCAAAATGGACTAGTGAGTAGTGTATGAACTAATAAACCGTCAAGCCAGAGTCTTTGAAAATTGTTTCCAGGTGTACAGAAAACCGATACATTTTAATAGGCAAAATAATTTCCAAACAAATTTCCTTATTAATTATCAAATCTATACGTGCAGGCAAAATAAAAATAGTTAAAATATTCAGTACAAAAATACTGAGTCATGATAATTCAAATATACAGTAATTTTCTGGCAATAACATTGCATTGCCCATCTGCCCCCAACTGTTTCGCGAGACATAAACAACTGAGGTCTACAGAGTCACCGACATTATTTTTGGATTATTTGGAAATTGGGCTCGGCATGAAACAGTTTTCGCTATATTTAAACAATAGCCAACGCACATAGATATATAATATACTATTGTGCATATGGTCAGTTATTTTTTCGTGTAGTTATTATTTATGCCTTGCGGTAACGATGTTTGAAAATTAAAGCCATCCCATTGGTGCCAAGCTCAGTTTTAGTAATTCAATAATGCACGACATATTTTCCGCGTACCGTCCTACGCTTTTCCTATATACAATTAATTGTTAATGTTACATAATTTATTTCAAAGACATCTCCCCTTGTTTGTATTTGAAATCGAAAAGGCAAATATCATGAATTCGTTTAGACTGTTTAGGACGTTTTATATAGAAGCGTGCGTGTAGCCGCCGGGTTCCTTTCGCGCTCGTATTCGACTCTTCCGCTTTGCTCGTGGACAACCTTTATAATTGAAATAGCAGTCTAACTTCGTCTTCTCTTGAGTTTTTCAAGGCGACATTATTATTTGCCATTTGGAGTTTGCAGCCGGTGGTTTAATTATAGGCCTGTCTGTATTGAACTACCTGAAAATACCGAAGTAAAACGTCGACGTTTCTAGTAATTCTAGCGAAGGCCTTTCGTACTAACTTCCCGACAAAGCCAAAGAGCCTTCGCTCGAAACCGACGAAACGTCGAAGTTTTACTTGTCTTGTATTTTTTAGGTAGTTGAATCCCTATCCATTCGCAGTTTTCTGAATTCTGGTTTGAAATACTGTACGTCCTTTAACAGACACCGAATTCCGGTATTAAAAATATTGAACAACCGTAGTAAGCTGGTAGCGTTCTGACTTTAGTCATGCAATCTCGTTCTATTTATAGAGGGCAATTACATGACTTGGACTGATCCCCGAACAAATTAATTGAGGTTTTTAAAAGAACGAGGCGTTCTGCGTTCAAAACTGGACTAAAACCAGTTTTTCGCTAGACGAATTTAGCGTTTGCTCGAAGCGACTTTTTTCTTGAAGCGGTGCTGACCATGGAGTTGGAATTAAAACGGGTAACGCTCGGCGGCTCGCCTTGCAGAGTCGTGAAAGGCTTTTCCTAAACTGCTCGTAGGCCGTAGCAACAAATGAAGTAATAAACATGCAGCTGTTTACTATAATGACAGGGCAACTATATATTTAGCACGAATTCGAATCGAATTGATATGATGATGAACCGATATATAAATACAAATTGAAACACTGCATGTCCTCATAGACATAGTCGCAGTCAGTAACAAAGTCGTCATTATAAAATATAATAAATATTCGCCATTTAATAGACATGGCTATTTTATATCCTTCAAAATCGACCTTGACAGATACGGAAATTTGTCGAGAGAGCGCGTTTTAGTGCAAGTCAACGCCATATTGAAATTCTGTTTAAAAATATCTATAGCAACATATCACCGGCTCTGTTAACAAAGCACGTCTCTTGAATAATTGCTCGGTAATCGCCATACTTGACGTCACAGGACTGACCTACCGCAAACAAAATCTATATTTAGCACTGTGTCTATAAAAAGACGTCTTTTAATAGAACTTTCAGGCTAAATTTAGAAACAGGAAAATTGTGCAAATTTGCAGAATATCAAGGCTTAATAATACAATGTGTCTTTATTGATCACAATACAATGCTTCAGGGTTTCTTGGCAAAATGTTCAACGCGTTGTCATTGTTATGCTTTGGGATGATTTTTCAATCGTTTAGAAGGTATATTCAACCTGTTTTTATAGAGTTACTTTGACTTTAAATTTAGCTTGGTTTGGATATGAAATATTTGGAGATAAAAAACATAAATTCAGGATGTTTTGAATTTTGACTTATTGTCATAAATCTAAACAATATAAATCTATTTTGCTTCCGTGGTTAGGCCAATCCACTTTAATATATCATGAATTCAAAGCATATATTCTAATCCTTAGGCTTATAGCTGTTTAACTTGGTGTTGCAATATCATGTTTCGTCTCATTTAATTTGCAGCTACTATTCAGCAATCTAGCCTTCCCTGCAGGCTTCGCCTTTAGTTTGGCGGGTGAAATTTGGTTGCGGGCAACAATTTTACAAGCTGCCTGCAAGTTCTGTGCCCTCTAACCTGCGATCAGGCGTTCTTGGGGGTAATTAACAGTGCTCCTCGGGACTCTCGATCTGAAACTTTTCTTGAACTAAAATACCTCGTCGAAGAAAAACAAATACCGTATTTGCTCGCTTAAAGCTCGTTCTCCACTAGGCGATTTTTATCGCGCGACGCGAAGCGAAAAACAAATCTTGGCAATGTGATTGGTCAGCGAAAAAATTTGTCGCGAAAAAGTTGGACAGTTCCTACTTTTTTACTGTTCGCGCGAACAAATTCACCTAGTGGAGAACGGGCTTAAGAGCGGCGCCATTTAAAAATTATTTTTATTGCCGGCTATATATAAGTTTTTTGAATGGAACTGCGCTTTTCCAAAATTCGGGGGGAGGGGGCGAATTGAATGAGAGGTCATTGCAATATCAGTACTAACTTCCGAAACTTATGAACACTGTAATATATGCTCAGGAGCTAGACTGATAAATTTCTGCTGGCAAATTTCAAAATACGGGGGAACATGTTTCAGATCCCCTAGAATTTGTCTATATAGCCTGCTCCCCCCTCCCCCAACCAAGTAAACCTTCTGCAGTCAATTGTTAAATCGTTCATTCTATTTCGTTTTAGTGCAAATGCTTCACCGTGCATCATGGACGCTTGCCAGCAGTGTGGGAGACTGGACACTATGGTCGTGTTTCTACTGACATGCGTGCTGATAATGCTGATGGAGGGATTTTGTTTCTGGATTGTCAAACAAATTTCACTGTCCTTTCTAATTCCCTGGGTGATGGCCTTGTGCTTAGGAATACGACTTGGTATGAATACACATGTAGTACACGCTCTAAAAACACCCTGGTTAAAATTTTCCTAGTCAACCTACAATCATTTTCAAATGTGTTGGGACAGACGCAGGGACGCCGGAACTGGGGGGGCAGGGGGGGGGGGCGGCTGCCCCCCTTGCCTTTTGCTAGGGGGGGCAGGGGGGGCAGAAGTGCCCTTTTAGTTGTAAAATAATACGTGATAAATCACATTTCCAACGATGCTTTTTGTAGGAAAATCACGAGATTCAGGTAATTTATAGTTTATATTTATAAAAAATTTGGGAAATTTTTGGAATTTAGAAAAAAAATTTGAAGAAATGGCGAAAATTTAAGATATCCGGAAAAATTTTTGGCTTCACGGAAAATTTTTGTATGTCCGGAAAAAAATTTTGACCCCTAAAATAGTACACTGACCGAAATTTTTTTGGCGACGGGGGGGGGGTCGCCAAAAAATTTTGCAGTGAAAAAGAAATTTTCAGTAAAGGTGCCCTTGGTGTGCGTCCGCCCCCCTTTGCCCTATTATCGTTCCGGCGTCCCTGGACAGACGCCCGCCAGTTCATATTTTGACAAACTTCCACCTCCCCCCCCCCCTTTCAATGTTGGGTCTCAGGTACCATCTTACTTTCGGCTGTGTGCTCGGGTAAACAACATTGAATGGAGAGGGAGGGGGAGGAAGATATGTTTGTAAAAATTTGCATATATATCCGCTGATCATCTAAACCGCAAGTATCCTAACACTTTTGAAAATGATTGTAGAAATAACCATATTTGGGCTAACTCAATATTCCTGGATTTCCGTATTGTTTTGACCTTTTCCCTATACTATAGTCTGGTTCATTTAACCAGGACTTCCTTAAAGAGGCTGTCAAGTCCGTTCTGCTCATACGTTCTGCGCAGGCTTACATTCCAATGGTCGGGACCCGACCGTTGGAATTTATTAATATTTCGTATATTTTGAACTTTCTTGAATTGAATCTCTAGTCTGTATTCATTTACAAGCATAGCGAACCAGAAAGTGTCAAAAATTTAGTATAATATATATCTAATCATATTTTACAACTGTAGCACTGAGTTCAAAATGTAAACAAAGCGTTTGTTTACATTACGGACTTGACAGCCTATTTAAAGGCCGTTTTCCAGCAGGCGGAATTTTGCGCGCGGAGCGGAATTTTTCTTTGTCTTGTGATTTCTCGGGTGGAACTAATAGACCTTTCCCCTTATAAGTGAAATTTTGGTCTATATATGCCTGGACAAAAATTTCATCACAGCTTGAAAGAGCATCACACAATTAGTAATATTCCGAAGTTTCGTTGCGAAATGTTGTAAAATGCGGATAATATAGCCTTGCGAAGTTTGCCGTTTTTCAGTCATTTTGTATTACAAATGGAAATTGATAATCAATTTGATCATCAACCTCGCAAGCAAGGGCCTAATGACTGAAAAACGGCAAACTTCGCAAGGCTATATTATCCGCATTTTACAACATTTCGCAACGAAACTTCGGAATATTACTAATTTTGTGATGCTCTTTCAAGCTGTGCTGAAATTTTTGTCCAGACTTGTCTAGATCAAAATTTCACTCAAAAGGGGAAAGGTCTATTAGAAAAGACAAATGCTCATGTTTTATCTAGTACTTATAAACTGAGTAGCAACGAAATTAAACGTATTAATTTGTCATTTTATATAGTACGAAAAAACATGTTTGAGAAACGAAATTTCACGGAGCAGCGACGAGGGAGCATTCCAGTTGAAAACACAGATCAGCACTACGGCATGGGTTCTACAGTTTAATTTAATGAACATTAATATTATTTAATTTTAAATTCATAAATTTAATAATAAAGCAGAAAATAATCTAGTAAGCAGAAATGGGTCTCCAATATTATCTAAAACCAGCATAATTTGCAAAAGGTTCGACTGTAGACCAGGGGCGTAGGACTAAAAGTTTCAAAGGGCGTAGGACTAAAAGTTTCAAAGGGCGTAGGACTAAAAGTTTCAAAGGGCGTAGGACTAAAAGTTTCAAAGGACTAAAAGTGCCCTTTTTTGTGCTAATGTCGCTGTAAATACGAAGTTAACATGGTATGACGGGAAAATCCCCCCCCCCCCGACAATATCCAAGTGCCCCTGGAAGCGGTTGCCCCCCAATCTTTTGATGCTTCCTACGCCCCTGCCATATACCATTATTTAAAACATGCCATAAATGCATTTTAAACTAGTCTAGCTATATAGATTTATAAACGTATTAAGGCTAATTTAAAAAAATTCCCGGCTTGTCTTCAGAAATTTAAGAACTAAATGAGGCACGTATTTTTGAAGCACGTCCCCGTGCAAATAAAGACAACAGGAACGCGGTTGATTAATTATAATAAGAAACATTGCTATATGCAATGTCTGAAGTCTGTCCATACAACCAAATAACCATGCAGCCAACAATCATTTTCAAAAGTTGTTGGGATACTTGCAGTTTTGGGTCATCGGTGGATATGCAAATTATTACATACATTTTATTAT